TAATGAAAGTACTGTTATTATTATAATTTTGCAAAAAAGAATCAAGATTACCTGATAAAAATGATGAAAAAGAAATAGGGTGTGGGTGTGGGTGTGGGTGTGGGTGTGGGTGTGGGTGTGGGTGTGGGTGTGGGCGCGGGTGTGGCACTAGGTGTGGGTGTTTGTGTTGGTAAGGGTGTGTGTCTGGGTGTGGGTGTAGAGGTATCGATGTGGAAGTGGCGAGACACAGTTATTCACCCACTCCCACACTCAGCTATCCACCCGAACCCACATCCACACCCTCACCAACACAAACACCCACACCCTCACCAACACAAACACCCACACCCTCACCAACACAAACACCCACACCTAGTGCCACACTCACACCCACACCCACACCCTGACCAACACAAACACCCACACCTAGTGCCACACTCACACCCACACCCGCACCCACACCCACACGCACACCCACACCCTCACCAACACGAACACCCACACCTAGTGCCACACTCACACCCACACCCGCACCCGCACCCGCACCCACACCCACACCCACGCCCTGACCAACACGAACACCCACACCTAGTGCCACACCCACACCCTCACCAACACAAACACCCACACCTACTGCCACACCCACACCCACACCCACACACCCACACCCGCCCACACCTACATCCACACCCAACCCCCTCTACAAAAAAGACAAATTTTTCAAAAAGTGACTAAATTTCCCAATATTTCATCAAAAAAAAACCGTTGACGGCGGGGGTAGCGTGGTTGGAGTACCCGGTACCCCTCTTGAGGGATATCTCAAATTTCGGATGATGATATTCCAAATATTCAAAGTAAACATGTGCTTAAACTTGGTGTGTAAGTGTAACATACGAATATATATCGTCCACTATGATTCATTCAATGGAAAAACTTAGAAGACTTAAAATAATAAGGTGTGGGTATGGTTTTATGGTGTGGGCGTCGGTATGGATCTTCTATTCTTCCACACCCACATCCACACCGTACATTGTTATAGACGAGGCATTCTGATATGTATTCATGCAATAAAACTTTCGATATTAACCATTTTATAAAATTTTAAATACAGTGATCAGAACTTTTCATCAGCCCTAAGTAAATAAGAGAGGTTCTAATAATCCTAGAACTAACTCAAAAAAATATTCAAGTTTTCAGAATCTATCATTTATGTATTACTTTTGGCTAGTATGCATTTTATTAAGACCATTTTATAAATATAAATGAAAACTGAAATACAACCCGAAAAAGGTGTAGAATGTTTTACAATATTTTAAAAGTTTAAGCCCTGCTAACCAAACATTTCAATCCGTTTTTTTGTTACATTTATGTTATTACGAATTTTTAAGATAGTTTGATGATTATACGGGAAAATTTTTTCATAAATTTCTAAAACTTGTATAAAATATTGTAAAGCTTTATGATAATTATTTTTTCTAAAATAATAATCACCAATATTCTTTAATGATGCAGCTGTATCAGGATGATTAACTGATGATGTGTTGTTCCACATATTTAACGCTTTTGAATAATATTCGAATGCTAGGTCACATTCATCTTTTTTAAAATATACTTTACCAATATAATTAAGACATTTAGCTATGTCACGATGATCTTTTTTAAACGCTTGTTTGTATATTTCCAATGCTTTTTCGAAATATTCTAAAGCTTGAATATAATCTGATTTTTTCAAAAATATTTCACCAAAATTCTTTAATGTATAAGCAATTTCCATATGATTAGTTGGTACAATACGCTGTAGCATATTTAAAGCTTTCTCATAATAGGTTAATGCACGATCATATTCATTTAACCTGTAATAATTTTTTCCAATATGATTAAGACTTCTTGCAATATGTTGATTATCCATTCCAAACACCTTTTCTCTTATTTCTAAAGCTTTATAATTATACTCGAGTGATGTATCGTGCTTGCCACATTTATAATAAAGTTTTGCTAAATTATTGTAATCCATGGTAATAAAAATATGATCAGATGGAAAAATCTTTTCATTTATATTTAAAGATTTTTTTTGATATTCTTTCGAGCGTTCATAATCACCTCTTCTATAATATATGACAGCTATTCCATTTAAGATTGAAGCTATAAGCGGAAGATCATTTGGTAAAACCTTTTCACATATATCTAAAGCTTTTTCATAATATTCCATTGCTTTTTCAAGTTCATCTTTTATAAAGAAGCAGGAGCCTATAACACGAAGATTTACTGCAACCGCTCTATTTTCAATCGGCATATTTTTTTCAAATACGTTATGAGCATTAGTAAAATATTCTATAGCGACATCATACTGAGCCATATCAAAATACACACGACCAATTGAAATCAATGTTTTTGCTGCACTTAGAATATTTAGCGGTATTAAATTCATATATGTATTATACGCAAATTTTAAATTATTTATTGATTGCTCATATTCACTTTTCATATGTTGTGCACGAACAATTCAACGATAAATATCAGCTAACATTAAATCATGAATTGGTTGATTTTTTAGTAAGTTTTCAAAATACTTTTGAGATTTTGTATAATCACCCATTTCATTTAAGAGATCACCAAACATAATGACAACATCTGATTCATTCATTACTGTTCTATTATATTCGATATATTGTGTAGTAATTTCTGTTCCTTTATCTGATGGTATTGCTTGAATATTCCAGTATTTATCAATATCATCATAAAAAACACTATCAATTTGAAATACAGTACCTAATGATAATAAAACTTCTTCTTCTTCTGGAAATTCACTGAATTCAGAAATATCAGTGAAAATAAATGATTGTATTCCTAAATCAATTGTAATTTCAAATAAAACAGATTGATTATCATCAATACTAGTATAATTACTATCAATACCAGCAAATATTTTTGCTATGGATTTATTTTTACTACATGACCAAAATCCATTTGCCGATATTAAACAACCAATATTGTCTTTTAATTTTTGAATCTCACTATTTGGTATTTTAGATCCATGAAAAAGTTTCATATTTGAAATTTGATTATTTGATATTGCTTTTAATTTTTCATAATTAGTCGTAATACATGAACATAAATCGACGATAAAAAATCGAAATGTATATAATGCATCTATATCTTCTATTCTTAATGCTTTATTTATTAATTTATGCACAAAATTATCTTTAGTATACCAATATATTGCATCATTTGGAAGATAAGTTAATTCAAATTGTTCAATATTTTCAAGTTCTTTCCTATTTCCATGATAATATCTACGGCATTGATTAATCATTTCTTTTTTTGAATCATTTGTTTGTGGCATTTTTTGAAGAATTTCTTTAAATAATTGAAAATATAAAAATGAACTTGATTCTTTAGTTGGAGTGCGAAATGTTTTTTGTTTTTCATCATATATCATGTAACTAGATGATTGTTTTTCTACTAATCGAAGTTTATTTTTAAAAAACTTTACAAGTGTTTGTTGGTTATTAAATACACCAACTATTTTATTATATTGATTTGATAAATATTCATATTTTCGTTTTTCGATACAATATACAAATATTGATATGATTTTTTTAAATGAGTGAACTTTCGATATGAATTCATTTGCACATAAACTGGATACAATAAGAAATATTTTTTCATTCATAATGGATTCAATATACTTAATACATTTGTTTTGATTATTATAAAATAATATATAATCATTTATTTTTCTATATATTCTTCTTAAACACCTACTAGTTTTATTACCTGGATCAATATGTTCATCAAACCAAATTATAGTGATATCTTCTTTATTTGGAATCACATATTCATCTATTGTATTAAGGTATTGTATTCCTTCTTCTTCTTCGTTCTCTTCCTCTGTTTGTTTGTTAACACTTTCTGATTCAAAGTATCTTATTAAATGTTCAATAGGTGAAAATTCAGGTTTTTCTATTGATTCTTTCGTGGATTCTTCATCGAGCTCCGTTGTAATGTTACCTTCAAAAAAAGGCAACTTTTCTAGTAATTGTAACACTTCTTTTTCGTATGTTTTCTTAGTATATGCCATTGTTTCCATTGTTGATTCTGAAACAAATACAGAAATAGCTTATGCAATTCAATGATATTATTCATATATTGTAAAACATTTTCCCTTCTTCTTCCTATCTTCCTCTTTAGTGAATTTACCTTATGCAAAAACCATTTATTACCACTATTTCTAATAATTTCTATGAAGAAATTTTGAGAAAAATTCATGTTTACTGTGAACAGAGGCGCATAAGAACGGCTTTTGGGTCATCCTCGATTTTAATGAATTCATAGTTTACTATGATATTAAAGAAACTGTTTAGGTGCGAACTCATAGATGAAACCGGTCTAGTTTTTTGAAGACCGGTACCGGTCTGAAAAATCCAGACCGGACCGGACCCAGTGGCCTCGCGAAGGATCAAATATTGGGGTGGGGGTGTATCTCGGATTGAGGAGTGTAAAGCGGTTTTTTCAAGAAAATCTTGCAGAAAAAGCGTAAAATGTAGACAAAACCTGAGTTTTTTG